TAATAATAATAATAATAATAATAATAGTTCAATGAAACTAATTAAAAATAAATAGCCTCATGATGCTTGGAATACATCGTGATAGGTGAAGCAACCTCGACCTTGACATCGTGGTTGACAGATTTCATGCAAATTACAAAATTTAGAATTTCCCTTTCAAGAATGAAGATTTGAAAATAAATTAGATGGTTACATTGCATGTTTCTTGCTTTATTCAAAATGTTTTGGTTTTTGAAGCTGATTTCGACATTAGGAAAACATAGCCTACATGAATTCATATTATAGTAACTCGATGCCCATCAAATAAGTAATAAAAATTCGCCATAATTCGTCAAAAATCCGTGGCTTCAAGGGGGATTCGCTAGCGGGGGTCCTATACGGCCTCCTGGCCCCTAACCAAGTGAGACTCGATTCGCTTCAATAGCCCCATCCCCCGTTGGGGCCGTTAGCCCCTCCCTCTGGCAGGTCCTGGCGCCATCCCTGATATGCAGGTAAAAGCAATACAAGAGAACTAACAAGATGTAAATCAGATCACCAATAAAATATTGGAATTTGAATATAATCCAGTTAAAAACATTTACAACGAAGTCATGGCTATGTCAAAGGTATTTCATTATTGACAAGGTATGTTAGCAATAAGATGTTTATCACACTGTTGTAAGACAAGAAAGATAAAGGAATCATGAAAAATAAGTCTAAAAATCAAGGTTTTGGGGGTTTGTTCGCAAACCCCAACAATTTTCGCGGCCACCTGCCGGCCCTTTTGACTTGGCAGACAGCTTTTGACAGGCTGGGGACCACTGACATAATTAATATCACAATAAATCAGCTTCCAGGTGGTTTTTAGTTTTGCAAAGGACCAAAGTATTATCATGAAAAGAAATGAAAGAAGACTTCAGAAATGAAAAGTGTGATGACCTTTGGCTTTAAATAGGTTCTTTGGTAAAAGTCAATTTTTTTGTGATAATGAAACAAGTGGAGAAACATGGTTTTTTTTCTGTAATGTAGCCTAAGCCTATCTAATCATAAACGCTTTTATTATACTTGTATGCCTTGCAGCCAATAGTGGAGAAAGACACCAAGTAAATACTCAATAACAGTAAATTAGATAAATCCACACAGATGCCCACGCACAGGTTCCGGTGTCGGCGGTGGAGGAAAATGTTTCGGTACTGCAGACGAATTTCTACGTAAGTTAGTGCAGGCTATAAAATGTGAAAGAGCATCTGATGCTAGCAGGTGGTGTGAGGGAAAATCCCTTTTGTTTTTCGTTCAATGCTTCATGCCTTTGAAACTGTAGATTATCGTATCGATGAGGTAGGGTGTACGACTTAATCGGAAACCCATGATCCGAGGGGAATACGATCCGTGCTGTTTCCCATGATCCGAGGGGAATACGATCCGTGCTGGAGGAGGGGGACGGGCTGCTGTGGTGACCTTCTCACTACCGCCCTCTCTACTGGTACTTCCACTGTCTAAGCATATATAAATTAAATTCGAATATGGAAAGTTAAACAATAATACTGCAACAATTATTTTGGTTCAAAATACAAGTGGGCCTCTTACAGTTAAATCTACATATGTGGAAGGGTAGTGGCACATGTTGGATTACCACTGATTCCCTGACCCAGAGAGAACGAGACGCCATTAACAGGCATTTTAAGGATAGAATGGCGACGTTACCAGTCAATCTGAATAATGTTAAACAATTTCTGGTTCTTTTAAAGGGAGAGATAGAAAATCCTCATGATATCGTGCTCTTCCTAGACCAAGTATTCAAATTGCTGTCACATTGAATGGTATGTAAGTCAATACACCAAAAACAAATTTTTCCCTTGATGATTACCTTGCATAACCTTCCTAGAATCTCATTGATTAGTCAAGTCGTAGTCCATGTCCTGTATTTATATTGCATATCCTGTAGTAAGAAGTGACCAACCACTGGAATACTTAGCATGACATCAATATTCATACCTCCATGTGCAAACATATCTCATTTCCTTCTAACAATCAGTAGGCCTAAGTCAAGCTTACAAATTTTAACTTTCTAAAAGAATTGCTACGCTTACTATATTTGTGGATTTATTTTATCAGATAGTACAATCATATAATTCGAAAGTTGTGACTTTTCTCTCATAGTAAGTATTATTCTCTTTTATTATTTTATTAGATTATTAGTGTTTGATACTGAAAATCTTAATTCTTAAATATTTACTAGGCTTTGTGTTATGCCAAATAAACATGTCAAATATATCAATAATTAATTTAAATGAAGACTGATAATAGTTAGTTTATCTTTTTTCCTGATGCAATTGTTTTTGTGTTCCAGCAGTGAAAATGTATAGTGTACATATATATATATCTGTCTCTTATACACATCTAGATGTGTATAAGAGAC